CTGTAACACCCGGCATGGCAATACTTACAATGACCAGTCTGTAACACCCATGGCAACACTTACAATGACCAGTCTGTAACACCCGGCATGGCAACACTTACAATGACCAGTCTGACACACCCATGGCAACACTTACAGTGACCAGTCTGACACACCCATGGCAATACTTACAATGACCAGCCTGTAACACCCATGGCAACACTTACAATGACCAGTCTGACACACCCATGGCAACACTTACAATGACCAGACTGACACACCCATGGCAACACTTACAATGACCACCAGTCTGACACACCCATGGCAACACTTACAATGACCAGTCTGACACACCCATGGCAATACTTACAATGACCAGTCTGACACACCCATGGCAACACTTACAATGACCAGTCTGACACACCCATGGCAACATTTGTAAATGATCATTTATACATGTACATAACAAATTATTCCAGGTTTACTTTTTTCAGCTATAAACAATCATCCATCACCATTCAAAATATGTGTTACTGCTTATATTTACCTGCCATGTCTACATGCAGTGTATACTGAGCCTTCTTCACTCCCTACAACAAAGTTATTGACATCACCAGTTGGAAAAGACAGACATGTGACAGCAACGTACTTGGGATGTTTATGCAGTAGCTCCATACTATCCTGTATCAATGAATAAAAATAATTATACTATATATTTAAATTTCACTTCACTAAATTATGTATTATATTGTACCCGTGTCTCACGTCTGTGAATAATTTGTTGTGATCAGAGATTTGGTTTTGATTTTCTGATTGTCAAATTTTGCTTGAATATGTAGCACAGAAAGTCACAGCATATAAATGTTTTCATTCTGTCCACTTATTTCAACATCTAATAAATATTTTGTTTCACCCAAATCTTACCTTATAACTGGTAAACAGCACTTGAGATTTCATATAGTGATTGATAAGATTCCAAAATTCAGATAAGAATTGTTTGAGTTATAACAACAGAAAGAAGACAATTTTAAATGAAATTTAACCATTATCTTGAAAATAAAACTTGAACTAACCTGTGGTTGTGACAACATGTCCAGACTCCATGAACACATTTTACCATCAGTAGAAATACTGATCAGATTGTGAGCATTCTGAGTTCCCACTACATTTACACAATACACAGGATGCTATTGACACAAATATAATATTGAAAAGATAGTCAGTAGCTACATACTAAGTCTATTGTAGTACCAGAGGAAGTACATCATTTATAACACAAGTCACTGAAAATGACACAGTCCCATTTACATTTTTGAAAGTTCTTTTTGTGCTCGTCATATTAAAGCAGAAGGGTTGTCCCGAGTGTGTCCTTGAAACTTGAGTTCCAAGTGGCATATACAACTGATTGTTTATTTATATAAATTTTGAACATGTGTTGCATGACGACCCTTCTGGTAAAACCTGAAAGTATTGAAATATTCTTAGTTCTGAACTAAAGTGGCTCATAGACCTTTTCTACAAGTCAAGCACCCTTTTGTGTTGAATAATATGGTCAAGGCAGATTCCTCAAAATTGCATTTTTACTAAATATCAGTTCAAAATAATGTGTAGAATAAGAGTAAGCTAGGCATAGGCCCTGATTCAAAAATGTCTAAGCAAGTCCAAGTTATCACATTTTAAACAAACAAGATGGCCGCTAGTCTGCCATATTTTATCAAATTGCAAATTGAATTGACATTTACATGTATTCATTTATGACATGCTAAATATCAATAAAATTATACATGGGTGACAGAGATACATGTATAGTAATATGGCCAAAACGTTATTCGGCCATCTTTGATCTGATTATGAAACAAACTGACATGTATGATGTATCTGTCACATACAAATGAAAATAGTACACAAGTCTTGGAATTATAGTAGCAAGGCTAAAAAGTCAGATGGCTGTCAATCGACCATCTTTGATCCAATTGCATAAGAAATTGTCATGGACATGTATCCTAACATGTATAATCTATGTACCAAGTTTGAATGAAAACTGCGTTCATGTCCAAAAAACAACATTTTCAAATAACAAGATGGCTGCCAGTTGGCTATTTTGAATCGAATCGCTAAACCACTGCATTTGCACATGTCCCACATAAAGTACTAGGCACATGCAAAGAATGAACGGAATCGGTCCAAAGGATTCTAAAATACAACTCTGGACGCACGGGCAGACGGATGGAGACCAAATTATAAGTCCCCATTTTCAAACTTTGTTCGAACAGGGACTAATATTATATACATGTAATATAATTAATGCAGTTTACAACTAGACAGCACTCTTTAATATATCATATCAACACTTTAGGCCTCGTGGTTGGTCGAAAATGTGCAGCTTTTACATTGTCATTTGACATTAAAATCTAACAAGATCTTGCAAATACTAATACATGTACATAAATATTGTATCATAAAATGCAAGTATTGGGAGCACATTAGGAACATGTGCACCAAGGTCAAATGCAATTGCTATCTTTCTCTCAGTCTTGTAGCTATGTGAACATACATATACTGTGACTGATTTTTCTGTGGCGAAATCTAAACAGGTCACATGACTAGAAAGTTTAAAGGTGGTACATGTAGCTAATGTGACATTGACCTTCGACCTTAACATATAACCTAGTGTTGGAGATCACATATAAGGAACACGAGTGCCAAGCTAATTTTCCTTTGTAGTTATATTGCAAAAACAAATAATATAATACATGTACCGGGGTAGTACTTATTTTGCCTAACCTCCTGCTTTTTATTTGACCGCTCATTGCTAAATTTCTGACTGTGCTGTATTTTCTGACCGGAAAACGAGTCTCGCTTATTGAAAACACCAACCGCTTGTCAAAACAATGAAATAGAAATGGTGGTTTTAATGGTATTGTGTTAGGATACAACTAGACTTACATGTATAAGGTTATTACGAGGATACCAAAAAGTATCGGCTGATGTGCAGCATTGGTCGATGCGACTGCATACTGTCTGAGTGCATATTTTGCGGTATCCTCATAATAACCTTATTATTATTATTATTATACAACTCTTCCTCCCAATGATACAGTACATCATGGGAATGTAGATTGTTACTTGATTTGGGTGCTTATTCTGATTTTAGCAAATTAACTGTAATATTTTTATTTATTTTACTGAAATTTAAACATGCATATTTGAGTGACATATACATTCAAAGCAGATCATGACCGAAATGCACCTGCATATGTACAACACATTGTACTAAATCTGAACAAAATCCATCCATGCATGACTGAGATCCGGTTCTGGAATTGTGAAAATACGTGATTTTGATGCATGTTCGGCCTTAAATTGGCCATCATTCAGCTATTGTTAAGCGGATCATGAAACAAATGCACATATCTATTTGTGACATGATGTACCATGTATGTGTGAAGTTTGAACTTGATCAATCCAGACATGTCTTGGATACGGATCCAGAACTGAATTCTTTAACAAAATGGCTGCCAGTCGGCCATTTCGAACTTGATCCGAAAAAACAAAAGACGTGCATCAAGGTCCTATTATGTTTAATATATGTACCAAATTTGAACAAAATCCGTCCATGCATAACTGAGATCCGGGTCCGGAATGGTGAAAATGAGTGATTTCAATGCATTTTCAGCCTTAAAGCGCTCTATTTGGCTATCGTTAATGAAACAAATGCACATACATATTTGTGACATGATGTACCATGTGTGTGTGAAGATTGAACTTGATCAATCCAGACATGTCTTGGATACGGATCCAGAACTGAATTCTTTAACAAAATGGCCGTCAGTCGGCCATTTCGAACTTGATCCGAAAAAAAAAAAAAGACGTGCATCAAGGTGCTATTATGTTTAATGTATGTACCAAATTTGAACAAAATCCGTCCATGCATAACTGAGATCCGGGTCTGGAATGGTGAAAACGAGTGATTTCAATGCATTTTCAGCCTTAAAGCGCTCCATTTGGCTATCGTTAATGAGATCATGAAACAAATGCACATACATATTTGTGACATGATGTACCTTGTGTGTGTGAAGTTTGAACTTGATCAATCCAGACATGTCTCGAATACGGATCCAGAACTGAATTCTTTAAAACAAAATGGCCACCAGTCGGCCATTTCGAACTTGATCCGGAAAAAAAAAAAAAGACGTGCATCAAGGTCCTATTATGTTTAATGTATGTACCAAATTTGAACGAAATCCGTCCATGCATAACTGAGATCCGGGTCCGAAATGGTGAAAATGTGCGATTTCAATGCATTTTCGGCCTTAAAGCGGTCGCCATTTGGCTATCGTTAATGAGATCATGAATCAAATGCTCATACATATTTGTGACATGATGTACCTTGTGTGTGTGAAGTTTGAACTCGATAAATCCAAGCATGTCTCAGATACGGACCCAGAACTGAATTCTTTAAAACAAAATGGCCGCCAGTCGGCCATTTTAAACCCGATCCCCCCAAAAAAATGACGTGCATCAAGGTCCTATTATGTTTAATGTATGTACCAAATTTGAACAAAATCTGTCCATGCATAACTGATATTCGGGTCCGGAATGGTGAAAATGTGCGATTTTGATGCATTTTCGGCCTTAAAATGGCCGCTATTCGGCTATCGTTAATCGGATCATGAAAAAAATGCATGTGCGTATGTCCCATATAATGTGTGATGTATGAGTGAAGTTTGAGCTTAATCGGTCCATGCATGTTCGAGATACAGGTGATCACGGACGGACGCACGGACGCACACAGGGCAAAACATAAGTCCCCGTTTTCGGACTACGTCCGAACGGGGACTAATTAGCCTTCAAAACAATAAGCTTGGCAAATAATATTTGTCTGCTATTTAAGATGTACAACGTGAAAACAATGTGAACCCGTTATTGAAGATTACCAAACTTGCAGAAAACACATTTAGATTTTACATCCGTGGTATTCAGTCTAATTTATCCCAGAGCACCTCTACCACAAATTTAATTTAAATCTGATTTTTTGAGATTACAGAAATTGGCTAATAATCACATCTGTGGATTACCCCAGAGCATGTACGAACAAAATTTCAATGAAATTTGATGATTGTGCACATTGTGCAAATTCAGCAATTAGTATGCTCGATTTTAATCCAAAACTAATGCATTGTATTCAGACACTTATATATCAAGTCTTATTGAAATGGGTTTTGGAAAAAAAATTATTATGCAAATGGGAATTATAATTATGTATAAATTTCAACTCTAAACTAATTAGATCTGTGTATTGTTCCAGGGCACACATGTACCAAGTTTCAATATAATGAGATTATTACGGTAATTCTTAATGAAATCAATGGAAAGCTGAAAAGTAAATCACTATGCAAATTGGGTAAACCCAAAACGTATTAGTTGCATTGTCTTAGTGTTTTCATGTACCAAGATTCATTGAAAAAAGATTTGAGATATTGATAGGAATCTGACAAATTATTATTCAAATCAGGTAATTAAAGTGTAGGTCAACGTGGCAAAAATTGTGGGCTGTATAGATCTTAATAACCATTTCCAACAGCTTTGTATCCATGTTAATTTTTCCTCATTATTATTGTGGTTGTGGGTGACTTTTAAACATTTCCCGAATTAGCTCATGCAGGCTGTTTATGGAGATAAGAAACAACAAACAATAGCTACGAATTAACACACTAACATACTCCATCCGGGCATTTCTATGACGTTTTAGGCTAGGTTCATTTGCGGGTTAACCATACTAAGTTGATGGAGTACTGCAGTGTACGTTGTATATTTTCAAAGAGCGTTGTCTTTTCTCGCATTTTCTTGTGATGTCAATACAAGTAGACCCGAGTTGTGTATTTGCGGAAGATGTCCAGACTACTCCACATTGCCGCTAAATGAGCGACTTTGTTGCTGTTCAACGGAATATTTGTCGAACAAGGCCCCAATTAATAACACTTGTGTGACACAACACCCAGACTTCAATGTCATTTGCATGCACCGTGGAGTGTTAGACACTGCATACGCAAGAAACCAACTGGATAGAAAGAGGACCTACAATCTTGGAGCAAGTATGTCAAACAGGTGAAACTTTTTCACTGATTATTATTGTAAAAATTGGTACAGCTCTGATTGTATTGTTTGTCAAAGAACTCTCGAACTC